ATGGTAATACCATTTGTGAATTAATATGGCAACTGTACATTTCTATTAACACACTTTCAAGAAATAAGAGGAATCCCTTTACCTCTTTGTTTCAGGAGTGGAATTTTTTTTTCTAGAGTAATCATTGAGAATTCCAACCCTCCTTTTCTTTCTTTACATCTGACATGTAGTCTAATACTGATTTCCAATTTTACTTACTTTAAAGTAGTAGAATAATAATCTTTTCCATGGTAAATGTTCTTTAAAATGTTTTTATGTTGAAGAAGAAAAAGACGAGAAACCATTTAGATGAGGAATTTGTTATCAGACCTGGAAAACCTAACTCACTGCCACGGAGTCAATGCTGACTGGTAGCAGCCCCTGTGCGTTTCCAAAGCCTGTAACTTCATGGGCGTAGGAAGCCGGTCTTCTCCGGCAGCGCTGCTGGTGGATTCAAACTGCCTGTTGTGCATCATAGCCCAACACCATAACTACCTGATTCCTGATGCTAACAGGTGGTGTAAGGATGTATGTGACCCCATTTTAATGGTGTTGTTAATATCTCCAAGAGGCATTTCTTGCATTGAAAATAAATTTTTCTCAGGATGGTTTCACATACAGACATGAAGAGAGGAAAATATGTATTAAAGTTCTAGAACTTGTCTTCTTTAGAACTGTTGAAGCAAAAGCCAGGATATCACAAATCTGCAAGATGGCAGACCTAAAGCCTACCCTTTCAAAATGATGGGATTATAAATCCCATTTTATTTTTATGATTTGGCTTGTAGATTGTGAATATTTCAGTATCTCTCCCATGCCAAAACACAAAATCACACACCCATGCACTCCAATTTGTTTCTACTTTGGTAATTTGTGACTACAGATTGACACTGACCTAGAAATGTTTCTGCTGCTGTTTGAAATCTCGTGTCAGTGGTGAAGAAATAGAATTCTGGTTTGTACATTTGTGTCTGGGATTTTATAGTTGTCCAAACTCTGAAATTGTCCCAGAAATGCTGTAATGGATTAAATTGTGTCTCAAAAAAAAATGTGTTGTAAATCCCAACCTCTCTGCTGGTGGTTAGGGAATGAGTTCTCTGGGTTATATTAATGAGACAGAATTAGTGTAGGCTGTTTGGAGATATAAAAGATTAAATACAAGTTAGCAAGGGGAAATGGGGGAAAGAGATGCCAAGCACATGAAGATGCTCAGAAAAAACAAGGGCCTTCCTCCAGAACCAGCAAAGAAAGCCTTTTCCCAACTTGAATTCATCTAGCCTAGAGAGAAAATAAATTTTTGTTTGTTAAGCCATGCACTTGTGGTATTTCTGTTAGAACAGCACTATATAGCTGAAACAAATAATAAATGTTGGCAAGGATTGTGAAAATTGGAATTCTTTTCCATTGCTGGTAGAACTATATTATGGAGAATAGTGTGACTCCTAAAAATTAAGAACTAGAAATAGAACTACAAAAACCACACACACATACACATACACACTGTGATCAAGTTGATTCCAATTCATAGCAGTCCCAGAGAGCACGACACAACCGCCCATGTGAGTTTGCAAGGCTGACTACAGGAGTAGAAAGCTCTTGTCTTTCGCCTGTGGAGAAGCTGGTCCATTTGAACTGCTGACCTTGCAGTTAGCAGCCCAATGTCACAATGACTGCATTATACCACTCCTTGGTGTAAGCCCAGAAGACAAAAAATAGATACTAGTATACCAATATTCTTCACAGCACCATTCACAATAGCCACACATTGGAAACAACCTAGCCCATCAACAGATGAATGGATAAATCAAATGTAGTACATACATGTGTACAATCAATTCTTAAACTAATAGGAAAAATGAAAACTTGATATATGCTGTCCTGTGAATGGCGCTTAAAGACATCATGCTGAGCAAATTAAGCCAAAGGGACAAATATTGGATGACCTCATATAAGATAAGCAAAATTACAAAGAACAAAGCTTATTAATGGCTAATAGGGATGGGAGGGAGGAGAAAAAACTCGGGGTAAGGGACAATGTGGAAAGTTGCATTAGTTAAGCGCAGAGTTGTACGGCTACTTGTAATTGTTGCCAACAAGTTATACACCTGTTTAAAAAGTTGAATTGGTAAAAGTGGTATGATTGATCATTTATAACCAAAAAAGGGGTAGATGCTGAGTCTACTTATTCAAAAGTTCACTGCCATTGTCTTACAGGACAGCACCTCAAGGAATTTGGTTCCTTGGTTTGTAGGGTCATGATTTCTTAAACATCCCAGCTATTTGGCCTAACAATGTACCATTGATGACCATTGACCATCACAAGGTTTAGAGACACTGACCACCTCTCTACTCAAAAATCCACGAAGAGCTTTAAAATTTTTTCTTTAAATAGAATACTGTTAACCAGAAGCCATCCAATAAACAATTAACATACTTTGTATGTCCTATGCATTATATACTATATCCACAGAAAAACTCCATTTTCTATACCAGATAAAAAGGTGTTTTGCAAAAATTGCAAAGGTTTTCATGCCTGCTAGCATAGCTGTGCAGAC